TGCAGTGAATGAAAGAGAAAGCAGCTCTGGTGTCTTAAAATTCACGTTACCAAAAAGTTACAAATGCATTTGTGCAATGGAGAGCGTGTGCAGGAGGTCGCTTGTAAGGTTTCGGTCATTAAAAACAAGATAGCCTAGAGATTGTGACATGTGCCCCATGATCGGAGGCTATAGTCCTTGTTGCAGCGGGGCAGTGGGTTCGAATCAGACCTCGGCCCTTTGCTGCATGCAATCCTCCAATTTCTCCTCCCACCATTTCCTGTCTCTCATCAGCTGCCCTAACCAATACAGGCAAAAAAAAAACAATAATACCAAATACTGGGTGCCATCGGCTACTGCTTTTGATGCCTTTGTATGGAAACGGTTTTGATACCAACAACCTTGTCAAAACCTGGAACAGTGACGACCAAAGCAGAGGTTAGCCTGTCTAACAATAGGCCCTCCTGACACTGAGCAAAATATTCAAACAGTCCTTTGTTGTCTGTCTTTCTCTTCCTGGGTGTGTCAGATCATAGGTGAGACATTGTGTTGTTCTTTACAGCCATCAACACAATAGAGCACATTTCAAACCTTAACACGTTTACCCACGTTCCAATGAAACTTCACACAGAAAACGGACAAAGTTTTAGCTGCTTTATGTGTAATCTGCATCGTTTATGAACATTAAGATGATCCTTTATGATCCCCAGTGGGGAAATTCAAGAACATTAACCGTATCTGAGTGAATGTACTAAAGGTATCAAGGGATCAAGGCAGAGCACTGTGGCTAACACATGATTACAGTACGGTATAACACCAACAAGCTTGAAAAATTATTGTTAAGTGTTGGCAAAAGGGTTACCTTATAAAACTAAGTACTCTGCTTAAGTGTGTCTTCCCTCTCCCTTGTCCTCCAAAATAGGCCACTCAAACCTGGGAATCCAGGTCAATCCTCAACAAAAACATTGTTAAAAAAAAAAAAAGGTTGCCAAAGCCCGTAATTCCTGGAGATAAGCATGCGAAGTCACGGTTCTGTGGGAGCACCTCCTGATCTGATAGATCAAAGAAAAAAGCCCACACACACAAACGAGTAAATGCCTACAAATAAATCAATAATATAACGTCCATCATTCTAGACCGACAACTCTCAGTACCTGGAGGCTAATCCATATCCAGGTAGAAGAGGACAAACAGGGTTAGTCTGGAATTAAACATTTATTTATCCTGTGTAGTTTCTGCCAAAAAACACACTGATCAGGTTATTTTTTCCTCCGACTGAGAGGAGAGGATTGAGGGCAGTAGTACTGCAGTTTTTGCCCTAGTTTATTGGAGATGGACAGTATCTGGGTAAACATCGTAGGAAGACTGCTCACATTTTGGAAGGCAGGATGCTTTCAAGGGATTCAAAAGTCAATGTTTTAACACATTTAAGATATTAACTTCTGTTTCATTGATATTTTTCTGAGCGGTGTTGGAAAAGCTTTGGCTGTGTGGATGATAAAATGCGGTGAATTTACAACATAAGTTCATCCATAACTGAACAAATCCTTTCAAAACAAGGAATTAGTCTTAATACTCTTTACGCACCTAAATCATAATCTAGTCTACCTCAAATCCAGGTGAGGAGAGCCCCTCACCAAGAGGCGTTCTGCAGGAGAGATCAAATAAACGAGCATGCGTGTGTCTGAATTACAACAGACCACAGCTTTTAAGGCTGTTTAATCAGCTTCATTGTGGTTTCCTGATTTTTCTTCTAACTTGTTGCCGTACTTCAAATAAATATCCATTGTTTTTGGATGCGTGCTGCTTCATATCTAATATTAAACATCTGCTCTTTCCTGTTGGTTCAGCTGTTATGGGAAAGGCAACAGTCTGAAGAAGAATGGTCGAGTGAGTGTTTCCACCTCAGTCAACACACATGAAGTGCAAGGGCTGAATTTTAAGCATTGCTTCGTGCACAATAAAGCATCCGTCTCCTGTTCTGTTTCTATCAGGAGTACAAAGTGGCACAACTTTAGAGTGACAGATTTTTTACTAAGCGTTGTTCTTATTACCACAAGGTAGCTAAATGGTGTGAACCAGGAATCCATGAGAACAAACCAAATGTAAAAAAAAAAAAAACCAAAACAAGTCAGGAGGGGTTAGGAGAAGGAAAACTAGTAAATCATGTTTAAGGTCTCATTTAAAGAGGAGTCACAACGTTGCTGTGTAAATGCTTTTAGACATACTTTAAGTATTTGAGCGTGGGGGGGGTTAGACATCTATAAGACCAAGAACTTGACTGATATATCAACAGGATGATACACATGGGCACATCAAAATATGTATTGGCACATGCTTTGAAGTGTGCGCCAATAATGCTTTTCTATACGGGATAATCTATATTTGATGCACAATGTCACTTTAGTGTTTATCCTAAATAAGAACCCCTGTGGTCAGCCACCTCTTGCAACAAAGAGAGTCACCTTGAAGAGAACAACAACAGATGGACAGCAGTTTCCATGTATTTTTAAAATGCCATCTTAGGAGAATAAGATCTGTCAGACACACCCACAGACGGAGTCCAGGCTGACGTAGTCATCGCAGCTTTCCATTGTGAAACCAGATGTTCACATTATTCTGTTGAGTCACATCAGATGGAAACGATTCTGTATGAAATGTCCATGTTCACTGAGTGTACACTACAGATCTGCAACCTGAAAGCACTTGTGGTTTATGATTTCCCCTGTCTAGAACACAATCCCTGTTATTTCTCCCTCTCTCTCTCTGCTGAGCTTTCCTACAAACACAACAGCTTACTGGTGTATGTTAATGTTGAGATCACTCAACAGGAGGTTAGGTGAAAACGTGCCCACAGCTCACCTTTGACACTCTTTCTGTTGACATCTGCTCCTTTCTCCAGCAGATACTGCGCTATGTCTTTGTGTCCCTTGTAACAGGAGATCATGAGACACGTGTGGCCGTGTCTGTTGGCCACCTCCAGGTCAGCTTTGTGCTCCACCAGGTACTTCACAATGTCCAGGTGTCCGTCGAAGCAGGCTGCCCTCAGGGGCGTCGAGTTGGTGAGGGTCGTGCTGTTGACAGAAGCCCCGTGGCCCAGCAGGGACTGGACCACCTTCAGGTGACCCGCCGCCGACGCCGCCCACAGAGGGGGAGCCCCCTCAATGGTCTCCCCGTCGAAGTTCACCGACCCGCCGACCTCCACGGGGGCACCGCAGCACTCCAGCAGGTACTCCACCAGGTCCAGGTGTCCGTACCGGGAGGCCATGAGCAGCGGGGTGGCTCCGTTCGTCTTCTCTCCCATCAGCTTGGTCACCTCGTGTCCATCTTTGTTCTCCAGGAGTTTCTGGAGCAAACGGAGCTTTCCGTCCCGGGCTGCGTTAAAAACGGCCGTCTTTAAATCCATGTTTGAAAGTTTAAATACAAAAGTCAAAGACGGTGAAAGACAACTCGACGTGCGGCGTCGCTCGGCACCCTTTGTTTACAACTAATGTGAGCCACACAGACGTCCACAACAATTATATATATATTAAAAAAAACACAACAAAAAGGTATTCCGCAGCGTGTTGTGTGAGTCTTTAACTCTATTAATAACACAGACGTTTCAGACGAGCCTTGGTCCAGTAACACATTTGAGACCGAATTAGCAGAATGTGGCTCGTCGACTTCCTCGATCACTGAAGCTAACCGACTAGCTCCGCTTTAGCCGACACTCTTCACGGGTCTTTAACGATCGTTTTTACCGATACGCATCCACTGACATGTCTTCACCCCCTCCGTCAGCTCTGCCTCTCTTGCTTGTCATCGTTTTTTTGTTTTTTTTTACAACATACTCCCGACACGGTATTTTTAAATTCGCTTTCGAAAGAGGGGGGAGGTAGAAAAAAAAGAAATAATCATCAACCCCTCCACCCGTAGCTGCTTGTTAGCTTAGCCTCGAACAACGACGCTCGGTGTCCTGTTCGGTCAAACAATCGGGGATATCCCCCAGTATCCGGGACTCACACACACACACACATACACACACACACGGTAAACGTTACCCTCCCCCCCTCCCAAAAAAAGAGAGACTTAAAAAAGGTCGTCCATTCAGCCACTCGGCGAGTTGGCACGACAACAATCTCCACGGAGGGAAGGTAAACAGGGACGTTTATCCACCCACGGCTCGACCGGATGATCACGACTCAGTTTCTGTCAAATCGCATACCTAACGCAGCCTTTTTTCTCCAGTGGCGCAAATGATGGACGTCTGCCTCGTCCAATCACAGAGCGGGTGGGCGGTAGCTTAGCTAAGTTAAGATAAAAACACCAGGTTTTGTTTTTATTAGTGGTCTACCTGGAGCTGTACAGAAAAATAAATACACACTAAAAGAGGGGCTAATATAAAGAGAAAGATTCAAATACCTCACACGTATCTGCATGATTTAAATAGCTTTGAACTACTGCATGAACGCGTAAGGAACTGAGGAGGCCTTGCTTATATCACCCCCTACAGGATAACATAAGCATTACCAGAGGATATGTCCAAAAGAAACCTGCATGAACTCTCTGTGATGATTTAATATCAATCAAGTGTACTCCAACGTTTCAACAGGAAGTTTATTCAGCCATTCAAAAAAAAACTTCACACATTCCCAGAAATGCCTCAGTGTTGAATTGTTGAACTGAAAATGAACATATCATGGGAATAAAGGAAGTAAGCCAAGAGTGGCCAACAAACAAAAATATCTTGAAGTTAATTTTTTTTTGTGTTTCTGAGCTTACTTTATCTGGAAGTAGCTTAGGTTTAAGTGTGTTTTCCCCTAAATATAATATTTAAATATTTGACATAAATCTCACAGTGAGATCGTTGTGTATAATCTTGTTTTTCCCCCAATACGGCTTATTGAATGATGAGACGAAAATGACAGTGAAAAAAACAGACCTAACTGGTTATCAAAGCCCAAATCTGCCATCCTGATATTTGAGTTATTGATTCAAATATTGTGTGAGTGGGTAAAATGTCAAAGTACAACTACAACTCAGAGAGACTAAGATCATTTTATATTCAAGCAATATTTTTTTGCAAATTGTACAGTGCTTTTAAAACCAAGAGGACAACATCAGCCCAAAAGATAAATACGATGTCACACTTCAAACAGAAAAGACAGAATTTGATTTTACATTGCCAGGAAGCAGTGAAAGAACATTTATAACAAGTTGCTGTAGAAATTGTTGTAACTGACCACACAGTGTGTCATGTAGTCACAAGAATGTTGTTTTATTTCTTTTGATAATCAACATGAATTTCAAAATGAAGTCCCTTACTGTATCTTTAACTATTTTGAAGATAATTCAGCTTAAATCCAAAACTAATTTAGAGTTCAGTTTTTAGGGGAGACCATCTCTATCTCTAAATTCTGAAACTGCCTCGAGTTACAATAAGATTAAAGGTGGCTCAAACTCTGTACAACATAATAACTTCTAAAATGACAAAGCTGATAAAAGCACACACATTACCAAGTCGTGCTCCCCCATACAGTGAGGTTTAATAACAAAGGGATTTTAACAACCAAATGCAAACTTAAAGTGAAAACAAACCTTTTCTTGCCTGAGTGGTTTCAAAGACCCAATGCTCTTCAGATGAGGACAAAAAAATCCTCAACTCTGTAACTCACAACTTCCACTCTTTTGGAAAATATCAGAACACAGTTTAGGCTGAAACTTGAACTAGTTAAGGGTACAAAAGGACTCAAATAAAATAAGAACATGTTTAGAAATTATCTCAAATATTTGAAGTATTTAAGGGTGGCTTTTTCTATACAACCAACTGCTTTAACTACCCTCATATAGTTACAAGCAACAAAAGCAAGTCTCTCTTCTGGGTTTCTTTTACCCCTCAATAACAGTTTGAACACAAAACAGCCCAAGACTGAATTGCATAAAGTTAGTGAAAATACCAGTGCTGTATGTGGATGACAGATTGTAGGACGTAGCAGTTTAATAATTTTCAGATCAGCACTGATATTTTGACTCCTTTTATGCACATGAGCCCAGTTACAGATAAAGAAAGTAATCAATCAGATCCCAGAGCTCAGACACTGTTAGGATCCGACCCGTGTTGTAGTGGTCTTCTTGTCAGAGAAGAAGCTTCTAAGAAGGACCACCTGACTGATGCTGACCACCAGAAGGATGATTGCTTCACCGATGGACCAGAAGGCGACCCGAGTGTTGAGGTCCTCTGCCCGGCTGCGTCCCTGGGCCTCCCTGAGGCGGAAGTGTGTCTGGTAGTCGATGATGGACTTCAGGGCCTCGTGGATGGACACGCACGCTGATTCCATCTGGAAATAGTAAAAACAAATTGGAGGATAAGACCGGTGCAAGATATTCAGACTCACTTTGGATAGAGGTTAATGATTGTCATGTAACAAGAAACTAATTTAACTTTAATTCAAACATTTTCATTTTAAACTCCTTCAAACTATATCGTAGGAACATAGATTTGTTCCTGCACGACAGAGTTAATGCAACATTTTGACACAACAACGTTAAGGTTGTGAATCAAATATAAAAACTGATGGCAACAACCAGCAAAATTTGAACAAATAGCCATTTCAAAGATGAACAAAACTCCTAAAATGTCCTTAGTGTTTTTGGATCACTTCGGCAAACATTTTATTTTTATTTTTTTTAACTAAATGATCATCTCTCAGTAGCTAACAATGCTTATTTGCCTCTTTTCTAAGAACTCTTCCGTAATTCTGCAAGTAAAAAACTGGAGAACATAATGGGCACAAAAAACATGAAATATTGTGTTAAAATTAAAGCAATAAAATGGGCTATGTGTCGGGAAATTAGCTACCAGATGATGTGGCTCTTGATAGTGGAGGCTTAATGAACACTTCTTCTCCCGTTTTAAACCACACTTGCTCAAACCAGGATGTCATTGTGTACATATAGGTAATTAGGGTTGAGCACACCCATTAGACAGTTGTTTCAGTATTTGAAGCAGGTTGAACCTCTTTTCATGTTAAACGGGTGGAGCTAGGCTGTGAATTTACAGAGATCCATTAACAACATTACTTTAAGCTTAAAGTCAATATAAAAGGTTTAAATGTAAACAATCTAAGCGGCAATCCAACTTGCAATATTGTAATGCAACTTATGGTTTGTTAATAAGGTAGAGTAAAAATAATGGTCATGAAAATAACCACAGATTACAAAAGACAACTTTTGCTCTCTGTATATCAAAAACGTTCATCCTCACACTCAGAGACAAACACTCATACACACACAGCTTACCTGGGTAAGAGCAGTGACTCTGTTTTCATTGGGGAAGAGTGGAGGGTCATCTCCAACCTGGAAGTCAAAGTAAACAGTCTTGTGTGTGAAGGTGGAGAACTCGTTGCTGAAGCAGAACTTGTAGGTGCCGTTCTTTGCTGCTGTAAACGTAAAGCTGTCATATTGCTTCTTCATCTCCTTGTAGAGTGTAGTTCCTTCGGGGTCCTCCAAACGACAGTCTACATCATAATGACCACCAGTCACCACCTGGGTAACCATAAAGACAAGAGAACAGCTGTTCAGTATCAGAGACATACAATATTCAATTTAGTTATTTATTTACATTTTTACCAATTGTGTGGAGTAGCCGAGATGATACAAAATGAGTGGAAAAAATCTCCTATATGCACACATCACATTTTATTTTATTAAATCTAAAGCTTTGACACATTCAATAGAGATTCATGATGGAGACTGTGACACCGTTCAAGTTCAGAGACTAAAAACAATATAAAAAATTAGGAATTTTAGCTCAGCTAAGAGGCAACACATTGGCCAGTGGGGTCACCTTATAGGCTAATGTCATCAACACAGACACAGATATGGAGAACAGAACAGGCAGACTGCTGTTATTGATTTAGTTTAGAAATGAGCCTTGAAATGGTTCCTTGACAATTTATGAAAACTCTTCACAAAAGGTGCTCTTAAGACAACTTGTTAATAAATGCAGAATATCTTGACGAAGCATAAAAACCAACAATCTCTCAGAGTCATATAAAAATGAATATAAATCAAAATGTTTTATAGCAACAAATACTAATCAGATCATTTTAACTAAGTACAGCGTGTAGAAATAGATGTTATCAAAAAATGCATCGCCTGCGCTGACAAACTGTATGTTGTTTAATGGAGCAATACTTAATGCATTGAATAATAAAAACCAATGAAAAAAAGACAAAACATGTCAGGTGTGTTTGAAATGAATTTGGAAGGTTATTTAAGACAGTATTAAGCATTCATCAGTAAGATACATTTGATATATAAGCCTATTTCAAGACCTGAGATGTTGCTCATTGAAGCAGTGGCGGTTCTAGACCACTTTAACTGAGGGGGCCAAACTGGGCCTAGTTGTCTTGTCAGAGGGGACATTAAACCCACTTTCAAACAGATATATAATATATATATATGCCAAATGATAGAGCACATCATTAAATACCACAACATAAAATACCATGTGTCAGTAACAATATTTAATACTAGATTGTGAGTCCGATTGTTGAGTCCAATAGGTGTGTATGTGTTATTAGGGGGGCTCTTCGTTTTGGAGGGGTGGCCACTGGTGGGGGACCGAGCTCAGTGTTATAGGGGCCCTGTTGGCCCCTGTTGGCCCCTGCCTAGAACCGCCCATGCACTGCAGACTGATGCTGTTTTCATTATGGTCGTCTGGACTCAAATATTTAAAAATGTCATCAGACATCAAACAGCCGAGCTTACCTGAAACTCCAGTGTGCACTTGGTGCCCATTATGATGTCCTCGTAGAAACACTGCTTTGCGTTGTCGGGCAGCTCAAAGGTGAGCTCGGAGCCCAGCACCCACCCACAGAGCAGCTGGGCCCACAGCACCTTCAACAACACCCGAACAGATCCGTACATCCTGAAGTCTACGAGCCAAGCCTGAGGTATGAACCTGTGAGCGTGCCTGCAGGAGAACAATCCACACAGCTTTAACTGAAAGTCCCACCGTGAGAAACTAAACAGACTGACAGGAGACAAAGCAAACCCGGACATTGGTGTTAGCGACAGGTACGAGCTCAAGCTAACTAGCTAGCCGGCTAGCATTTCAATCGTAAAGACTTAAAACACTTTGGTTATTTTCATATTTTCCTATCGTAAGTGTATTCATGTGTTATGAGCGAGCCGTGGTAGTTAAAGCTAAGGATAATTAAATATCTATATTTGTAAAATCATGATTATGTCTCAGTCAGCATTAGCAAACGTTACTTACCTCGATATGCTCACCCGGATGCAACTAATGCTACGTAACCTCCTACAAACGTAGCACGACATTGGCTGGCGTCCGCCATAAGGCCCGCCCCCTCGTCTCTCCGATTTGCCGAAAAAGAAGAAGGGGCGCAGTTGTGCGATGACGTAAGCTTACGGCTTACTGTGTTGACTAACGGATCCTCTTCTGCAATATCTTCCAACGTGGCTGACACCATTTGGTTTTTAAAATAAACTCAACCTAAAAAAAACAAAATATAATTAAGAAGATAACACGATTTCACAAATTTATTCACAGCTACCTCCAAATGACAATTACATCCGAAATAAAGATAAAGATAAACTTTATTGATCCCCCATGGGGGAAATTTTTGCGTTACAGCAGCTCAAGGAAACAGGAATCTAATTATTAAAAATAAAAATAGAAGTTAAAACATATTTACATCAGTTAAATGAAAAAATACAATAATAGAATATTACAAGGTATCTACACTTCCACTTGTGGAAAGAGTTATTGTTATTAAAAACACACACAGTGTGTAGCATTATTGATATGAGTCATAATATAAATATAAATAATACATAAAATATACTCGAAACAAAATAAATGTAGCCATAGTCTATACAAAAACAAAATCTTAAATAGTTTTAGTAGTTAATGACGAAATAATTTTAAAGTTGCTGATAAGGATGCTGTTATCATCAACTTTAAACTAGAACACAGCCTTATCATAATTGTTTTGGAGTCAGTGAGTTTCAAATTGGATTGCTATAGTTATTCCATGATATCCTTCATTTTCCTCCTCATACTATCTATGACAGGGATGTGCAACTGTGGTCACAGCAAGGGTCACATTCATTTAATTCTCACTGCCAGATGGCCAAATTGTAGTATACAAAAACGATTACAGTCAATTATGTCTGAAATTTATCTCAACATATAACAGTGATCAAATATTATTATGGACATATTTCTGGTTTTCATGATTTCATGGCAGATTTTGTCATCTTTTCTTCATGTTTCCAATTAATTGATATGTCAAAATTGACCTGAGGGCCACGTTGAGGGTTGATGGGGGCCGCATGTGGTCCCCCGGGCCGCCAGTTGCCCCACCCTGAACTATGAGGTTCTACTATTCTGCTGTTTCTATCACACACGGCGGTAGAGCTCGTGTATTCAAGCTTTTTTCTTTTTGTTCTTACCATGACTTCTATCCAGCAGTCCACTTAAAATTGTAGATTGTTATTGAGTTTTACAACCAGTTATTTTATCATAATAAACAATACCATGCCCATATCACTTTCCTGATAGGCGGCTATTGAAATCAATATAACTTTGTCGTTTAAAACTCAGTTGCGGAAAGCTTTGTCCTTAAATCGTCATGTGCTCCTTATTTGTCATAATCCAGACTCATAAAGAGGGACAACACCAACATTTTACTATTCCTAAATAGCATACGTCATTGGAGTTTACATGGGGTCAGCCAAACCTTAATGTAAGACCCCAAATGTCAGGGTTTGTAAGCCAGAGTAGCAAGACAACCCATAATTGTAAAACAGTGTGATAGATAAACTACATTCACCTGCTGATAATATGTCTACACTCATGCACTTTAACTTATGTCAATACTGTCCATTTACAACTCTGTTTTTGCACATAATCTTTCATATTTAAGACTAGTAATGTTTAGTTAAATCCTGGTTGTATATATTCTCATTCTTAGTTTTGATATTTTTAGTGCTTATTTACTTTGTATTTAATATTATATTGTGTTTAAATTTGCTAATATTGTGTGTTTGGACAACCTGCTGCTGTAACGCAACAATTTCCCAGTTTGGGATCAACAAAGTAATTCTAATCTATTCTTTCTGTCAGATGGAGACGTGAGTCTATGGTGAATACACGTCCGACCCAAAAAAACAAATCTCGCGAGAACTGGTTGTATGAGATTACAGAGTAGGGAGGGCTGCATGGGAGAGCTAGAGAGACAAAACAAAAGCCACACATTTCAACCAACAGGCGCGGGTCGCTTTTTATTTTTTATGTGTTAACCAAAAACAAAACGGATTCCTTCTTTGTACTAATTAGTATTTAACAGCAATATTTTCCACAAGTTTTGCAACATGCCCAGTAGCACGTCTTTGCTGGAGGCCGACGAGGGAGAGTCCGAGCTCCCTCCGCCGCTAGTGCACGCTTTCGCCGGTATGGGCCTTGAGGAGCACAACGGCAGCCAAAGCCAGACATCCGAACAACCAGATGAAAGCCTCTCTTTTCTCCACCACCACCACCACCACCACCAAGTTTCTCATTTTAACCTCCTCGGTACCGTCCTGGACTTGAAGCCCCTGCCTCTGCATCGGCCTCCTTCGGGAGATGAAGTGAACATCACGGCCGAGGACGAAGAGCTGGAAGTTGTAGCCGCCGACTCAGGCTCGTTTCTGGGGCAGGCCCATCGCCCCAAACATCTCCCATCGGGGCCGGGTGGCTCCATGTTGCCGCCCGGGATGGACCCGCAGCACGTCGAGACGGTCCTGTTGTACAACGGGGACGAGCTGGACGATAATGTGGCCGGCGGCTGCGCCCTGCCGCCGGGTAGCAGCATGGCGATGCTACCGCCCGGCGTGTACGCGGAGCCGGGCTACGAGGCCGAGGCGGCGCTGTTGGCTCGGCGGAAAAGCGTCAACACCACCGAGTGTGTGGCCGTGCCGAGCTCCGAGCACGTCGCAGAGATCGTGGGCAGACAGGGTGAGTCGGTTTCTGTTCTGGTTCTGGTTCTGTCTGGAACAATAAAGCCAACCCACGACAAGTTGCTAACAAGAGTTTGGATAAAACTTAGTGGAAAGACAGCTGATGCAGCGGTACAGAAACTATACTCCAAACTAAAAGCAGGACAGTAAAAACATTAAAGAGATAAAACAACAATGATAAAATGTGGGGGATATAAAGTAACATAATTGTATGTTTTCACCATTTGGACCTAATGCAAGAAACTTGGCGCATAGCATTGAGTTCATGCAGATTTACATAATGAAGTGATTTTCTTTTTATTTACAAAATGCACACATTGTAAACGACATCTCCGTGAATTATTCAAACTACAATCCTGACTCTCCTCCTACAATAATTGACTTATTAAGCTTGAAAGCTAAAGTGGGTCATCATCATCATCACCGTCGGCCCGACACACTAAAAAAAAAAAAAAGTTAACAAGCAGCTGCCAATAAGCAGATTATTCAATGTCTTCCTTCTTTGTCAACATGCCTGGGGGTTTTTGTTTTTTTTTAGACCGTGTGTCTGTGCTTTGCTGGCTGGTGAGTTTGTGCCGAGCCGAGCCGTGCCATGCCGAGCTAAAAGCAGGCTGCTCTTTGTCTCTGTGTGGTGTGCTGGTCACCATTGCTTTGCCACATCAGCTGTGAGGTTAAAGTTAGAACTCCGTGACATAACCAAGACTACTTTTTTTTTGTGTTCCTCTGAATAAATGACCGGCTTTTCTTAGCTGTCCAATTCTTTTATCTGGCTTTCTTTCTTCTTTCTTTTTTTTTTGTTTTTTTACATAAACTTTACGTTGCTTAATGGTAGGGTTTGGCAGTGTGTTGTTATGTCAGAGAGAAGTTGGGGGAGGGTGCACAGACTGCAGTGTTGACAACAACAGGAAATGGCTCTGGTAATGATGCTGGACTCTCAACCACAGCTGTAGGGAATATTTAATTTATAAGCCATGCAACCTTTAAATTGCATTAAGCACTGCCGACAGAGTGGTGCGATCTTGCATTGGGTCAATTAAAGCTGAACACTCATGTCTGTGTAATGTAATGTTGTGGGTCCTTTTTTTTTTTTTTTTAACCCAAATTATAAGTAAGTCTAATCTTTTTTTTTTTCTGTTTTAATCCCCGACAGGCTGTAAGATCAAGGCGCTCCGAGCAAAGACCAACACCTACATTAAGACGCCGGTGAGGGGAGAGCAGCCTGTCTTTGTTGTGACGGGGCGCAAAGAAGATGTGGCCATGGCTAAGAGGGAGATCATGTCGGCAGCCGAGCACTTCTCCCTCATCAGAGCCTCTCGCAACAAGACGGGCCCTCTGTCTGCTGCAACTGGTCCAGGGACCCCGGCTCTTCCTGGACAGACAACCATTCAGGTCAGCAAGCATGTGATCATGAGTCAACGTGGTGAAAGATATGAGACGCACACATTCTGGTGCAAGGCATCACTTACAATGTAGTCTTTATAATGCTGTGTGTGTGTTGCCATCCAAGTTGACTTGTTTAAGAGAGGAGGATTTGTGTGGTTTATATTTTTGGTTACAATTTTCGTTTGAACTCACAGGTGCGGGTGCCATATCGTGTGGTCGGGCTGGTCGTGGGTCCAAAAGGTGGGTCTTTATTCCATCCTTTTATTCAGATAAACATTGTTTTTTTTGTTGCCTTTCACTCTATCAAAGTAATGTGTTGATGGACCACATTATTGTAAAAGCCCATACATACAGGTAGCTCCTTCTTTTCTGACCTTTAGAAATTAAATTGTAAAATCGTTTCCTTAAAGTTTTTTTTTTTTTAGGTTTAAAAATTAGGTTTAATATGCTTTTTCTCTACTCCAGGAGTTTACATGTTGCTGTCACGGTGTCTCAGACCTTTTGCCCTGTTGACATTACCACCTCAGTGTCAGAAAGCCCTGGGGTTGATTTGCAAATTGAAATGCGGCGGTTCTCAGTCATGTGCCACTAGGCTGGAGAGGGTTCGCTAAGAAGTCAAAAAAGACTTCAAATTTTAGACAAATAAGGAAACCTTTTTCCACACAGAGGTTAAAGTGTTTAATATTTATTATAGTTTAGAGTCGTTTTGGTTTCAAGCTTTTCTGTCTTTTAACTTGTACTGTTTTAAATGCTAATGTTTAAATGGTTTCATATGGGGGGAAAAAGAAGTTAAAATACATCCATTCTGCTGTGAATGTAAAAGCGTCATTTGAAAAGGTTCCAACGCTCGACTGGAGCACACAGTCTGGGGGTTGAGATGTGTGTGCTTTAGCCAGATGAGTCACCAAGACAACCTGCAAATCATTTCTATAATAGCTGCACAGCTGTGTTCAATCCATTCCCAATGTTTGAAGAAAAGCGAGGGGAATAACTGAAAATATATCGTGTTTTAATTTGACTGGGCAGCGTAAGGAGAACTACTCGGGCTAAATGTCTGTTTCTCACAATCAGATCAAGTTGCAGTTTGAAGCCACAATGAAGCGTGCCTAAATTCTTTCCCCTTATTTTCTCCGGCTAATGTTATGAGCACAATTAATGAAACTTTTCTCACTTTATCAGTCGAACTTTCTTTGTATAGAACATTTTAAATGACAAAAAAGTATCAAGACATGTGAAATTAAACTCATTTAAGACGACCTTGCACCAACCTTTAGATCACGCACATACACCTCAAGAACGGATGTTATAATTGTCCCCGACCTACTCCTACTAGAGCACACAAGATCAAACAAAGAAGAAGATCAAATTTCTTTGGAATGGTCTCCCTCGTCTTGGGCGAAACTTAAGTTTAAAGCGTTAACTCTGGACGCAGTCATGTGAGCAGAGCAGTTGGTTGTTCAGAGTTAAAATGTTTCGGTCTGGTCGTATCTTTTTCAGGAGCAACCATTAAACGCATTCAGCAGCAGACCCACACTTACATTGTGACACCGAGTCGCGACAAAGAGCCGGTGTTCGAGGTCACCGGGATGCCGGAGAACGTCGACCGGGCGAGGGACGAGATAGAGGCGCACATCGCCCTCCGCACGGGAACCTGCGGGGGCATCGAGGCTCCTGGTGTGGACAACAATGACTTTCAATTCAACGGGACCGACGTCAGCTTTGAGAGCTCTGTTACCCGCGCTGGCCTGGGGGATGCCAGTTGGCTGCACGCTGCTGCATCATCACCCAGTGGGGGCGCTGCTGCTGCTGGTGGTGCTGGTGGTGCTGCTGGTGGTGCTGGTGGTGCTGCTGGTGGTCTGCTGCCAGTGAGCATCAACGGTACTCCACGAATCAATAGCAATATTAACAGTGGTGTCAGAATGTCTTCCAACTACCGCAACGACAGCTCCAGCTCCCTGGGCAGCGGCTCCAGCTCGGCTGATTCTTTCTACGGCGGCGGAAACGCCAATCGGATGGCAGATTTCAGTCCAACCTGTGCGTTCAATGCCAACGCTAACAACAACAACAACAGTAACGGCAGCGCTAGCTTCTGGTTTGGCGACAGTCTCCTTCCTGTGGGGTCCGAGGAGCTCGTCAGCCTGGGAAGCGGAGGCTCCTCCTCAGGGTTCGACCCGTTAACCATCTCCACCGCCCAGGCCTCGCAACCTGCTACACAGCCACAAATCTGGAGCCCCTTCGTGGACCAACAACCCCTCCAGGCCCTTGATGCTCGCCAGTCTCAGGTAGGTTAATACAATCTGTGCTTTGACAGAGAAAGCAGGGGCAAAAATCAGGTCAGATGGAGAGTAGTTTTTAAAATCAAATGAAGAGGAAGGATTAAAATGCAAAGGTAAGTAAGAATAAATGCAAATAGAAAGAATAAAAGTGAGTTTAAGCAATTAAACAATACAAAAAAAAGAAAAACAACAATAAGAGACGATCAAATTATATATATTAAAACTGTTGCCTTTTGCTGTCTCCAGACCAGCCAGCCTGGAACCCCTCGGCTTTCTCCAACGTTCTCGGCACAGAAGCCTTGGAGCACCCTCAGGCCCAGCGCGTCCACCGGGGGGCTTTTGGCTTGGCAGGAGCCCTCGACGCCCACAGGTTCCCCTCCTACAGCTCGGCCTTCTCCTCTTCCAGTGAAAGCACCGCCTCCTCCTCCTCCCCTCCCGAGTCCTCCCTCTCCTATCGACCAGGGCTGGGATCAGCAGCGAGAGGACAGGAAGTGTGTATCCACTGCATGGATAACCAGGTGATCGCCGCCCTGGTTCCCTGCGGCCATAACCTTTTCTGTCTCGATTGTGCCACCCACATATGCCAGGGTCCAGACGCTGTTTGCCCTGTGTGCCTGTCCCCGGTCACACAGGCCATCCAGCTCCGCAACATGTGAGTTTGATCCACTCGGCTCATGTGGCGTAAACCACCCAAACACTTCCAACGTGTGTGTGTGTGTGTGTGTGTGGTAATTACAAAACAGACCCCAAACCGTTTCTTGGTGTGTCATCTCCCCAGTTTTGTTCAAGCGGCCGTTTTGGTTGACAAAGACGGGAATGAATAAGGAATAATGTGTATTCAGGGCATGGGTCAGGGTCTTCACCCCGGTCATGCGCCTGTTATTGTGAAGTCTTCTTCCATGAATGATTGATTGATCAACGGGAGGGTTGGAACCCTCTGTGTAGCATTGGGGGGAAGGGGGGGGGGTGGGTGGGATATAAATATATTTTTTCGCTCACAATGAATTTTGATTTACATTTTTCTTCTCCCCAAAACATCTAGTTTTTAAGATTTTGCCTACCTATATTTTATGACAAATTTTAATGAACTTTGAATCCTGTTAGATATCATATTGTTATTTTCATGTTTGCATCTCAAAAGTTTTTTTTTTTTTTTGCTGCTAGCGTTGTTTTTATATGTGCTGACACACGGCCCGGCCCCTTTGCCTCTTGATTATTGTGCTCAGCGACACTTTGAGGAAGAGAAGAGCATGTTTACATATAACGAGTCCCTTCTGAATATAACGTGTATAAATGAATGATATCCTCCTGGTTAAGATTTTGAATGCGTACACTAGTTAACTGGATATAACGTACACATACAACATTATCTGGCTACTCTATCTTGGATAATTTGTGTAAATACGATCAAGTGAATCTGTGCTGATCTGATGTTTAAATGCTTCAGATCTTAAATCCTAAGATTTGTGCATCAACGATCGTCACGACATGTAAACACACTCACAGAGGGTTTAACCTGCACAGGTGTGACACTCCAACAGCGACCTGTTGTTGCCTCTAGTTTCTTTCTCCTTTTTTTTCTTTTTTTTTCGATAAAAGAAACAGAAAAGAGTGTAATTCCTCTGGGTGTTACACTAGCTCAGTACCGCCACGTTGCTTTTCCATTTCTACTTAAAAAAAACAAGTGTTTACGGTTAACTTGTGCCTAATTCTGCTCCGACTAAACAAAAAAGAAAAGAACGAGTTCAGCTGACTCACGGTGTTGCTCCGTCTTAAGACAAACTTGTGGCCTTTCTGAAAGCCTATAATTATCTGACAACACGATCGACTAATCTTATATTTCAGCTCAAAACGACCCAAGCTGACAGACTGAGGTCTTAATGTATCCGTTCGAAGATCGGTCTCTTTAATGCGTCCCGGTGGATCAAAGGCGATATCACAGGGAGGTTTTCCTTTGCTTCCTTTTTTTAACGAGTATTTACCTTTTTTTCTTAAAAGCAACAAACACTTCCATTGACTTAATTTCTGTTTGAATTTCTTCCCCTTGCGTTTTTTGTTCCCCCTCTTTGTGTCTAAATAATCTCCTTTATTTTTGGGAAACAATGAGCTGCACAGCTCTTATATTTGGTTACATTCCTCCTCCCCTGTATTGCTGACACTTAAGTAGATTGTAAAGCTTATAAAGTAACTCCTCACCTGCGAGCCAAAGGAGCTGATATTTATACTATGAAAGACACCTTAGACCTGGAACAAAAAGCCGTACTGCACAGACGGCATGCTGACTTTTTAAAACATCTCAAAAGAATCCTTTTTATTTCACTTGAATGTTCGTTTTTTTTTTTTTTTTTTTTTTACCGCTCCACCTTGTGGCCATCATATCAAAGCCATGTCTTGACCTTGTTGTGGAGGTGAAGGGAACAGAATAACTCCCATTATTTAATCCCATGTGTCGTCTACCAGGCCTATGCAAAAACAAAAAGCTCTCAGTATGTTAACTGCTCCAGGAAGCACCAGATGATTTAGACTCCTCGGGTTGTAATTACAGAGCTCTAAAGAAGGAAGAAGGACTCATTCTTTCTGTTTTATTTTCTAACTACATTTGAGTCATTATCAGCTGCTTTAATGCATCAATAGGACGTTTCCATGGTACAACTTTTTGCTTTTCATGTCTCCTCAACTGAACCTGCGTTCATCCTGAGCTTTTCCTTTTTTATCTCTTCACATTATTTACTACATGGGACTCTAAACGATTAGACCTTCTCTCTCCTTCTGTCCATTTCTCTGCCTGAAAATGAAGAAAAGGGTACAAAACTGGTGGAAATCATCTCAGAAATCTTAGCTTTAAACTCCAGCGGCTCTGGACATTGTTTTCCAGGATTAAATGGGACATTTGCGACGAGGGGAAGCGGCTGGTATGACTTCAGCTTGGACTGTGCTGACACTACATAAGATCATACTGTTTCTGTGTGAACATTGAACCCCGGTCCCTTTCATCATTCCAGCTGTAAACAGTATTTTGGAGTTTTTTTTTTTTTTTTTCCATCGCTCAGCTATTTTTCCTTTCATTTTGAGTTTTTCTTAAGGAAACGGATCCAAATGAGTCTCAGAAGTGCAAAAAAAAAAAACACCAACCCACGTCTGCTTTTGCTCTCTCTGGTCTTCTCTCCGTCCTTTTTTTTTTTTTTTTTTATCTTTGCTCAAAGGGTCGATCTCTCTTTGCTCTCTTTCGGAGGAAATGCAATACACGCTGTCGACCCTCACTTTATTGAAAAAGACTCTATTGACATTTTGTGTATGTATTATTACTGTTAATGACTGATGAATATACAGAACTTATTTTTATTTTGTTACATTTCATATATATACATAAATATATATCTATATTAAAATGTTTACAATAAGATTTCTAATTTTTTTTTTTTTTTACTTTTCTCTACGTGAATGAAGAGTTGGAAACGGAGAGGTTGCAGGAGGGTGTCAGTGCTATCTGCTTGTAGTTATATTAGTTTACAGTATTGACGATAATAGTATTGATAGCTGCCGTTAAATCTAGTGGAAAATGGAATGTGCATCACGAGCATGTCTTCATAATGTAACGCCGATGTAAAACGTCTCACTGCAACTGTAAAAAGGCCAAGGATTCAAGCTGCCTGTCATGTCTGTACGCCAACCAATTAAGAGCGGTATACTGTCAAATGTATCTTAGATGATCTCTATAGAAATTCATATATTGTTAAGCTGTACCAACAGTTCAAAGTATTTGCTAATTTTACTACAGGTTTGTTATGTATATGTAGGGGAGTCTTATGGCATATATAAATTCTTCAAATTGAGACAGGAGTTTAAAAGCAGACTATATTTTATAACGGCCTTTTAAGTTATTGCGGCCAAAGCACTGATATTATATATTTGCTGTAAAGAGAATTTAAGAGTTTTATTTTTCTGATATTAAAGTTACTTAATAAAGACGGTTTCATTTAAAGCCATGTCCCAACTGCTGTGATTCTTTTTTCTTATTTTTCCATGACATGTTTATTCAAATGAATTAAACTTTATTGTCATTTTACAATGCAACAGTTGATCTATGCCGACTAAGAAAGTGTTTTTTCTGTAATTTCTTAAGTTATGTAACAATGTAATTTCCATTATTTTTAATATTATCAGGGGATGCTTTAGCTTTATAGTAAAATGGTAAAAGTCTTCTGACTACTCAAAGTGCTTTTACACCGCAGGTCACACCAACACATTCACACACTGATGGTAGAGGCCGCTATGAGAAGTGACCATCAGAAGTAACTAATCATATTCATACATATTCATATGCTGCCAACAAAGCAGCGGCAGCAATTTAGGGTTAGGTGTCTTGCCCAAGGACACATTGGGCATGTTGCTGCAGGAGGTGAAAAGGAATCTTCGACCTTCTGGTTGAGACACGACCAACTGAGCCACAGCTGCTTTAAACAGCTTCAGATCTTCAGTCATATTTTTAAACAAGAGGTGCCGTGAGAGGAAAGAGCAGCGACGGTCTTTTCACCTTCATAAGTCAGCAAACACAGAGGCTTCTCATGTCCTTCAGCGTCCCTTACTCACACTTACAGAAAACTCCTGAAAAACTCCAGATATTTCCAGGAGGAGCTGTATGTGTGAACCCGAACAGCTACATGTTTCACTCAGACTTAAGCAGCACTTTCTCCTGCCAGCCCCCTAGTGTTTTTTCCACCAGTCCAATGAGGGGATGTGAGAACACAGCAGGGTATTAACCGGCGAATTCACCTCGAGCCAATGAGAGGGTAGTGACGTTTCTATACTGTGACTGCTGCACGCTGCGTAGACTGTCCAGACCTCTACGACCTCTGTGCTCGTAATTAAACAGCTGCATTAAGTTTTCTGTTCACCATTTTGTTGTTCTCTGCTCTTTTGTGGATGTCATTCCATTGGACTACACAGCATTGATATAAAGACAGATATTCTCATTATAGCGTCATGTAGCTGACTCTGTTTCTTCATCTGCTACTTCTGCGTCGTTTTTTTAACGTCACATCTTACCTCAGAAGACCCCTGCCGTCTGACAGGGATAGTCTCCGGCTGTGAGGAGCATAATGTGAACAGCCAGGTCAGGAGAATATCCAGAGCAGTCCTCCTGTAATTATCTAGATATTTTCAGGAGTGTAGATGTGAAAACGGCTGTAGAGATTCAATAGTTAGTATTCCTGATAAAGACGGGGAGCAGAGGAGGTGACACTTGTCTAAATTGTATTAATGCAAAACGTAAGTGGTGCCTAGGACTTCTATTTTTCGCCATGGTTTTGAAGCAGATATCAATAACAGTTTGATGTTTGTACTGGTTTTGTAATCAAGTTTTAAATTCTGGTATAGTGAGAACCCTAGATTTTTTTTGTTTTTAACTGAAAAGTTGTTTTAATCTTTGTGCTCACACTCACTTCCAAATTCTGCAGGATCTCTTCTCAGCAACCTTTACGAAGCGTTGTCAGCAACAGGGGGAACATTTCTCCAAATCTGCAAATCTCAAATAATTCCCCGTCTATTCCTATCAATAAAACAAATACCTCTTTTCATCTCCCCCGTAAGCATGTGAACCTCCTCCAGGACTTGTGGTGTCAATGTGACTTTGCCACCATCTCAATCTTGTAAACAGTGATGCAAACCGTCTCATGAAAACAGACGTCTGCTTCTCATTGTGGTCCTTTAAATCTCATCACAAACTCATGTGGTCACTAAGTACCCTTTAAATGACTGGGCTCAAGTGTGTGGAGCAGCACGCAACATATGCTTTTAAACGTCATAATACTGCTCTGACACTATTCTTTCTTTAATTCACACATCATTGAGACAGCTACAAAGAAGCACTTGTACTGAGTTTGGGCACATTTTTTGAAAGAAGACATTTTTGTCTCATAACTCTCCTGCAAATCTGTAAGGACACTTGATTTTCTTCTTCTTCAGCTGTGGATTAATGGTAGACGATGAAGTCTGTCATTGTGAGTAGTACTCGTCATGTTGATTTACAGTGTGTGGAAGTATTTGTAAGAAATCCCCCCCTGATGGAGCCCCCACCAGCTGTGATGACCTCGAGCTGTCATCTCGACAAATAGGGTTATGATTTTAGTTGCACCTGTACTTATGCTAACATCAGACGTCAGATTATACAGCAGGTCTGACCTCGCATTTTAAATACACGAGAGTCAGTAACATGACGTTAACCCCAACATCTCAGGGACTTATAACGTGTGTATCACTCCACCTCAAGTGTTCTGATACATTTAACTTAATACCGAATGTTAAAGCAAAATTCTGAAATTCTGAATTCAGTCCAACAACACTCCCTCCTGTGATATTACTTTTACACCCTCTGTTTCAAGTGATATGATGTGTGTGTAAATGTAGCTCCAAATGTGTTCACTTCTCCTTCGGTTGTCCTGTCGCATCACATCAAAACGTCTGCTGCAAAGATATCTACACGTCTAATGAGTTCTGAAGGGGACATCGCTGAAAAAAAAAGAAAAGACCACCACTTAGAGAATACAACTCCTTGTTTAATAACACTTTCACATAAGAAATACAGGTCAAATTTGCATCTGCAATCTGTCATAGTAGTCAACATCAACTCGTTGGAGCTGTGTCTTTCGGCTCCTACAATAATAACTGCAAGTAATATAAAAACATCTGTCCACTTTCAAGCACAAAATATAACAGATAAGATCTCCAGAATGAGTTCAACATCAGTTCTTTCAGTTACATAGAATCATAAAATATCCTGTTTCCTGCCATTTAAACATCCAACGCATCATTTTGTAAACAAATCAAAATCTAGACTCTCTTCATCCCTGATGTAGGATAAACTTCTTCAAACAATGCGACTCAAATTATAGTGAAGTAACCAAAAAAGAAAAAAAGGGAGGGGGGGGGGGGAGACCGGGACAGAACAATAGCAAAGCGGGTCAGGTGTGTGACATGAAGACCCTTAATTTGAACTAAAAGATGGAAATGATCAAATAGCAATGCTAAAATACAAAAAGAATATTCAGTGTGGCAGTTTGATATGAAAAAAAAAATAAGCATGAACAGATGTTCAAATCCTATTCAGTATGATTTATCTAAAACAAACAAATGCCTTTCAAACAGAACAGAATGTATCGCATGCAGCTGGGTGTAGGAGGAGGAGGAGGAGAGGGAGGGCGAGGGGAGGAGGAGGAGGAGGAGGGGGTTTACTGTGATCAAATTACTTCTGTGCAGCATGCTTCATGTTCTCGTTTACCTTCAGGCTGCACACTGATAACTGATGTTCTTGCATTAACACATTTCAAGAAGAATAGTTGAATTCTTTGAGAGCTCGGCTGTTAAAACGTTGAGTTTACATAATTCAGCTGGATCGTTCACATCAGTTATAACTATGTAGCTTCCCTCGATTAGCCTTTCATGTTGCTCTGATATAGCAGCAACATGCAGCACACCAGCGTAAAGCAGCTACTAGTGATTTCTATACTACTGACATTTACCTGTGCAAGGCCCCGTGTCCACCTAATGTTTCAACCAGGCAGGAAAGCGCTGGCTGTGCACTCAGGAGCACTTGCATATCCTTCCTGTCTCTATGACAACAGTCTGTTGACAACAGCAGCTGTATGATCGACACCGCTCCGTTCCTTTTTGCTGTATTTAGTTTATTTCCCGATCAGACACGGAGCATGTGGGTACAAGCTGTGATCCGTAGGTGACAACACTACAGATTGCATCATACATTTGGAAAGAGCACCGGTGAAGTCAAAAGCTCCTTTCTGAAAGGTTTTGAACTTGATTTTCAACTTGAGCGCTCAAACAAATCGCACCAAAAACACGGAGCGCTCCGCTGCTGCGACAATCTCTCCTCATTGAAAACAATTGGGGGGAAAAAAAGACACTGGTGCTCAGAAACAAACGCTAGGTGAACACGGGGCCCAAAGCAGGTGATGAAGTTTCTTTAAGTGAAATAGGAATAAGGGGATCTATTTGCCTTTAAATTTCATGCAAACATTGACATGCGTTTCAAAAAAAGTTATTTACATGGATTATAAAGAAGGAGAAAAAAAAACCGCAATCAAAGAGAAAGACTTTGAAGAAACCCTACAGATGTGTGTAAAATGTCTATAGTGTGTCAGGAAAGAAAGTTAAAAAAAAAAAAAAAAAAAAAAAAAAGGTGTCTTAGTGTTACATTCTCAATACAAATGCATCACAATGTGTCTTCTGCTGAAAAATCCTACTGAAAATATAAACCAACCTTTTCAATCCCTTATCAACATCGCAGGAAGACCACCTCAAGATAAGAGTTACTGTGTTATAAACAGGAAAACAAAAGTAAAGTGCTACAAACATAATACAACTCAATCCATAAAAAGTAACAAAATAAAACCATAAAAATATATATCGACGCTGGGATACTGTCTTCTCTCCTCTCTGTCAGTAAACTATACCAAAATAAAACACCTGGATCAAGTAGTTTATAAGTGGGCAGTTTAAATACAACGATTAATGTCGGGTATGATTTAAGATAAAAAACTATAAAATTGAAGTTGAATGAAAGTAAACAATTAGACTTTAAAAACTCTTACTAAAAAATGAAAATCAACTCAACTGTGGCACAGTCCAGCAGCACACTGGCAGTGATCGTACTCCACTCACAGCACGTTTGTGAGCATGAAGTACTTTGGCTTGCCAAAACATCGAGAAGTACGGAAGCCCTAAGCAGACATGCATCAGTACATTTTATAAACTCTGTGATTGGTTCATTTCAGTTCGAGATACCTAGAGAAGGAAAAAAAAAAAGATCTACAAAAAAAAGAAAAAAACAACTGTGATTGACATATCAGGGTAAAAACCAGCGTTTGTTATCTCGAGAGGATTAAATCAAAGGTATGGATATTTGTCTGCTTAAGGGCTTCCGTAGAGACACCCTGCTATACTAGTTCTGTGATGACATCTCAGACGCCTTACGTTAACCGTCTGCCTCTTCTGTTTTCTGACTGAAGTCTAACACACACAACCCGTCAGAGTAAGAAAAGACGACTGCATGGTGAGCATCTTGTCTTCACTCTGACCCGGTTCATACTCGACGCACAAAACATCCCCGTCCATGTGTTTCTATGATGCATTTCCAAAGTTTAGCGGCGACCCACTTATGTTCAGATATATGTTTCCACAGATGTCGCTGCTGCTGCTGCTGCTGTCAGGTTAATTCAGTCAGTAGCCAGACAAGGGCCATTATTGTTTAAATTAATGACAATAAATGATATACAGTACACATACACAGTGCCCCACCTGTTGAGATTGGCAGGAAAAGTAATAGGTGACTTGCATAATAAGCCTGAGACGGTGCAGCACATCCTGCATTGATGAATTAATGTCTGTTACAGCCATTAGTGAGGCACTCACCCCCCCAAAAAAACAGTGTATGGTCGAATGTTTTTCAGATTAGCTTGGTAAGTGGTTTTACCAAATGGATCTCTATGTGTCTTTGAGGTTGAATTTAGGGCTGTCGACATGAAAATTTACCATTTGAGATTGATTGGTTAATCCAGTATAAAGAGGGTCTCTTACTGAGTCAAGATTAAACCTTTACTGGGGGGTGGGGGGTCCATTTTGACTTTAATTGAGAGTATTGGACTGATTTGAGATTCAGTTACAGACACCAGCAGTCACACAGCCTGGTCTTAAGGTCCAAACTTGTACTTTTGCTTCAGTTCAAAGGTTGTGAATCTGCATTAGGCTCGGTGGTGTGTCATTTCATTCTGCGATATTTGGGCAGTGATCGTCGCCACTCAGAGTGCTGCTGCTTCTTTAACATTCAGCCCCACTGCAGACTGAACGTGCTCATCATCCTGGATGTAAAACAGCTTTGTAACAGCTTGAATGAAAACTCGACAAAACCAGCAGTACTCTGGTGTGCAAACACTGGATGTAAGAGCCTTTCAGAACAGCTCTGTGATGTTAAAAATGGTTCAGTTGATCAGAGTGTCCATCAGTAGTTGGTGGTTGTGGACGCAGAGTACATTCCAGTATCACAGGTCTTGAATATGCACGTTGTGTTACTGTAATTATCTGAGACGTCTTACAGTTCATCATTCCAGTCAGCACAAATCAAAGCCATCTATCATAAATACAGATGTGTATTTGTGTAATAAATGGCTTTGGTTCATTTTAGTGTCCCTTCTGCTTTAAAAACATAAGTTGGGGGGGCCACAGTGCACAAAGGTGCTTCAAACACACCTGAAAGGTTGTTTTTTTTTCTCCTTATGCGTAAGCTTCAGAGTCACAGCTGTTTCACCGATTTCTCCACACAAAACTGTTCACTGAGGAAGACTTTTCCGCTTGACGCTGCAGTGTGGTGCTGCAGTGATGACGAGCTCAGTCCAGAGGCTGAGGGTCTGCTATGGGCATCGTGTGCAGAACCTCGTCCAGTAACTGCAGAGCTCTGTGCAGATGGATCTCGATCCAGCACGGGGTCTCCTTGATGCTCTGGCGGGGGTAGTCCGGCCCCCAGCCCTTTACAAAGCTCATCCTGAGAATACACAGCCTCCGGAGGTCATCTACCCCGATACCGGCTGCTGCTGACAAACCTGAGAGGACGGGAGGAGAGGAGCAGGTCAGTGTGAGGCTGCAGACGTGGGACAAACTTCAAACCATGTGTTCTGTTTTTCTGTTGTAAACTTGAATGACTATACAAGTCAATTAAATTACTCAACAAATACAATGATACATTTTGTAGATTAGTTTAACAACAAAAAACAAGTGACTCTGTGTTCCTATGATGAGTTCATTTCTGTTGATTTGACACCTTTAACTTGCTATCTTTGGATACCAAGATAACGAGAGAAAAAAAAGCAGAGAAAGCCTATCAGTGGGAAAACCAGCGTTGTTATCTCAAGAGGATTAAATAAAATATAAGAATACATGTCCACTTGTGTCAAGGTCAGTTTCAAGGCCTGAGCCTACCGGTTCTAGTTTCTTTAGTGCTTATATTATATTTGCTCATCCTGCTCAGCATCGATTACTTACCAGTAACTCTCAATAATCGTTTTTCTTTATTGCAGGACAGAAGACTATCAAAGTGCTTGTTTTATTTTCTTGAATCATTTTTGAATTACGAAATAGATTTGATTTGTATAACTGCTTTGAACTTCATATTTTAAGACAAAAAAGAAACACAACATGTCATATCGGGCCAGTAAGAAAGAGTGAAAACCATTTCAACACTCATTTCTACAACATAAAAAGACCAAACATCAATTGACTAATCCAAATAATTTAATTCTATAATGAAAAATGTTGGAGGCCTGATATTATCTACTCTCTAATAGAAATGTAAAGACAACCCCTTCTATCATACAATACACTTTCAACTTCATTTTTGAAGCAGTGAAGCAAGCAAATGTTTTTATTTTTTTCCAGAGCACTTTATCTTAATACAAGCTGAGTTCAAATCTGTTCCTTTGTCTTTTTCATAAACAAGTGTTCCACCATCACAGACTCTCATTGCAGTATAATGACACCAAACTGAGTCATCACACTGCCTCTCTGTGACTGAACGTGCATCTAAATCATCAGCTTCAGTGTCTTACTTATAGCAGGAGCTATCCCTCCCACTGATCCCGGTCCAGGTATATTCCCAGCCACAGCAGCTGCTTGGGCTGCAGCTGCTGCCTGAGCTGTGGCAGCCTGCTGTTGCATCTGCCTGTGACACTGACGAAGGTCAAACACCTGATGGGAGAGAGGAGACTGTAAACACCGAACATTCAGCTGCAATTAGCCCCCTGAGCCGGGGAAATGTAACCACTGCAGGCTGCCAATCAGGGAGAACCCCGAGTGGAAGTAGAGCTGTATGAAGATGTCTTAATACGACTAATGAGTGACATGAAAGGAAGCGTATGGAGACGGTTTGGCAAACACAGTCTTTGTACGAAGCAAATGTCAACAGGGCAGAGAGCCAAAGGGTATGGCATGAAAATGATGCTTTCAGCTTTCACTCAGCTCTTTACCCAAGAGGAAAAAAACAAGTTTATGAAATGTCAACCTTGAGTGATGTCCTCTTCTTTACAGCCCACAGACCCGTGTCCCTACCTTGATGTAAGCGCTGGGGTAGATTTTGTGCACGGCGTCTCCAGGGGCTCGGCCTGCCTCTCTGTCCAGGTAGTAACTCTGAACAAACACTGCGTGGTCACTAAGGCACCGTACCCACACGTCTCCCTCGCCCTTACACTCCAGCTGAACCCCTTTGCCAATGTGAAGCCTGAGAGAAAGGACGGTAGGGAAGAAAGAAAGCAGTTTGAGGGATAATAGTGTCAAGTGGAAATATTCATTTTAAACAAACTTCGTTTCGTTAACTTTCAATTATAAACACCTAAACACATTGTCCTGCAAACTTAGAAATGAAGAGTGTTTCACTTCACAGCTGCCCTGCATGTATTTTTAAATCCTCTCAGCCTTTTTTTTACATCCACCCACAGAGTTTCTTTAAATAAACAGGAAAGTAAAAACTAGTGAAAAGAAGGTGTGGTCGTGTCATCCTTTCAAATCTCTGAACGTTGAACTAATGTGTTGAAAGACAGAAAGATGTGGAATTTTTTATATTTGAATATTTGGGGTGACAAATATCTGCATCAATAGAGCTAAAGATACCATTAGTTTAAAAAAATGCCAACACATAGCACATAGCAGAAAATGTCTCTATATTTTCAAGGCAACATGTGATTGCAGCAAATAATATTCAGAGAAAATCACCGCAAGTGAATACACGGGAGTGATGATGTGTACAACCAGTGCATGTGAAGCTGCCTCATGCTCTTTTATTTTTGCTTGTCAATGCCAGCATGTTTTTTGCTAATGTGAATATTTTCGATTGCACAGAACATTGGTATGAAGAAAAATACTCCCCCCCTCTACCTCCTATCAGACATGCTAAGTATCCCACTATGAGGGTATGAAAGAGTAACTGAGGACGGTTTTGGGAGCAGGAGAATTTAGAAACGTGCAGTAGTGCATGAGTAAAAAATGTCTAATTATTATAATCAGTACCTTTCAAACTGGTTAACTGTTATTACTGGAGATAATTCAGTCACATACCTCGCTCTTTCAATAGCCTCAGTGCGATGGACGTTGCTTAGCTGGCCTAAGCAGAACCGGTCTCCTCCTGAGGGGTCCACATAGCCGTCCACCGTCACGATGGGGCAGGAGGAGGGCACCTTAAACGTCTCGCCGACTTGCACATCCATCTCAAAGTAGGCAATGGAGCACCAGTAGTCAGGAGCTACAACAAAGGGGGAAATCAAATCATTGTGTGTCAGTAGTGACCTTAGTAGAGTTACTATTTGACAGTCATATCGTGAACATCCATAACCAAGCAACATTGAAGGTGTTTTCAAATCTGATGACGGAATTTGAATTTCAAAATCAACTTCAATTGGAATTATTGTTTATGTTATTATTATGTATTAAAGTAACATTCTAACTCAGAGTCTAAATGAATGTTTCAGCACATAATAAAATGATATAAAACTAACTTGTAAATGTATAAATATCCAATCTAGGCTCAAACTTTTACAGTCACCTTTAAGAACAGCACTGCCTCCATCAAGCACAAATTATAAAACAAGAAAACGATGCTGGAATTAATCGCAGTCTGGATAGTTGCAAAAAAAACCCTGAATTTTTTGTTTTATTCATAAATGTTTCTCTTCTTTTAAGTCTTTCCAGGGTTGATGTACTTTCTTCGTGTTCTCACCTGGGTGATTGGATATGGGAGGCTGAAAAGCGAGCTCATTATGCACCGGCCCTGAGAGAAAAAGAGAGAGGCATCAACCAATATGAGGGGGGGGGGTCATGTGTGTGATTCTGTATATGATTTTACTTTCAGCTGAAGTTGTTACTTACAGTAGTGTGTCGGGTGTGGCATGGGTGGGTGGTGCTGCAGATGACCGTTGGTGTGGTGGGGTAAGTTAGGGGTGAAGCTGCTGTTCCTGGACCAGGTTGAGCTGGCACCTAACAGGGGAGGGAAGAAAAGAAGTCAGAGCTCCACAGATGGACAGAATCAGAACCATTACCCATGTGAAGTCACATTTCTAGAACAAGACATTAGATAGTCTCAACTACCAATTACAGAAAAGCACATAAAACATTTTTAAAATGGGTGTCTCACTGCCTGATCCAGCAGCGATGGCGGGGAAAGACGACGTTGAGGCAGAGGTGGAAGCCTCAGCAGGTGTGAGCAGGTTCGGGGTTGCAAATGCTTCAGAAGGGGCCGGGCGGCTGCCTGATGGGGGATGCTGGATGGTCTGGAGGGAGTGTCCTCCATCAAGGGAGGGTAGACTTTGAGGTCCATCAAAATCATACTCATCCTTTATCAGTCCTGAGCTGGGTCCAGACGGGGTTAGTGTCAGTCCTGATAAGTCTGCCAATATGAAGACGGATTAACAAGTGGGCAAGCTGTGATTTATATTCAAGAAACATTTCCTCCAGAGTTCAAAAGAAACATCCTGCAGAGTGCTATATTATTATGCATTATTGTATTTACAGATGGCCTATCACTGACTGTAATTGTTCTTTACAGCCGCAATATAATAAACACTGAAATACTTTACACAGACAAATATACTGGATTTAAGTCTATTTGGGTGGAAAAAAAGGTATTAAAGCCCAAAGAGAACACATGACAGATATGGGAGAGCATTAGGAAAATCATTAGATTTTGGTGCCTATAGGTCAAGGAAAGAATATAATTTAGCGCAAAATGAGTACATCCCCACAGATTTACACCAATTTTGTGGCTTAAGTCATCCTTTTCTTCCCCTTGGAAAATGAAAAACTCTGAAAGACCAGAAAGACAACAAACAAAAGGTGTGTTTTGTCACTGCTGGGACGGAGAGCGGCAAATAAGTGGCAACTACTACAAGACATAAGTGCTAAAGAATCAAATCCCTCCCACTGGTGCACCTAGCCTGACCGATGCTAGTGGCTTCTTTAGTTACTTATTTTAGTGTTTAAGTCAACACCTCACACACGTTCAGCACTGATGATAAACACACCTCATAACTCTTGTTATTGATTCATTTAACGTCTTTTGTAATAAATTATTTGTTTTCTTTGGTAAACTTCTGACCCCTCCCATGGCCCACGAACCGGGTTATGACCACTGGGTCCAGCAATCAGACTAGCGCACACGCACGCACGCACGGAGGAGTAGGGAGACGACATTTGGAGAGAGCACAGGTGAAGCGAAACCTTTCTTCATTAAAATGTACAATTAAAGGTGTGGCTCTCAACTGTGGTACTTATATGTCATCAACCATCGATGGCCATGTTCAAAGTAACGTTTAATTTGTGTGAGCAGTGGCGTGATAGTAACAGGTAACTAAACGCAAGCTCAGCATCTCATGCTCCCTGTGACTCACTCAGGCACACATGGCAGCGTTTGCGCTGAAGGCGTGGACACTTAAAGTAAACACTTTGCAGTAAATCAGCTACAGTAGTGCTCAATTTGTGTGGTCACAGCGTTAACAAGCAACTGGACGGGGTACTTGTTGAGTTATACATTTCCTAGTGAAAGGGCAAATGATGTATGGTAATCAAGTTACAGGATATTATTCCACTGAGGCTGAGAGAAATGTAGATAAGTCATAAAAATTAGTAAAGGCGAGTTTTGGTTTTGCATCAAACAAAAAAGTGTCAGTGTGAAGCATTTCAAGTCCCATGATTAACTTTGCACATCCTGCGATGTGACATCACAACTGAGACGGTCAAAGTTACGTCCTTAAGCCCAACAGGAAATACCTTTTTTTTTTTAAAAACCTTTAACGTCTATTTGGTATTCATAGAACTTTTTTAAGACTGCTTTTGGTCTCTGTTAATGTCATAACATTAGAAGACATGAAATAATAAAACTCATTCTTTAGATTTCTTGCAGTTCTGTTTACTGGGCTTAACTAATCCACAAACACATATTCACAGATATTTACACAAACTGAGAATCAGCACCTGATACCCACCTATGCCAGGAGACACCACTCTCTCATAGTGATAGGGGTTCACACACACATTATCACACTTCAGGTCGAAGGCAAACTGGCAGTATTTCACGTGCTTCAGTTCATTCTTATGCAGGTCAGGCCAGCGCCACAACCGGGCATAGATGACATGAGGAAACCCTTTACGGCCTGCAACCTGGAAATAACAACGACATAGAGCGAGAAAACAGATTCAAACGTTTAAGTTCAGGTGTAAAAGACGTGTTTGTGCTGTGAAGTCAAATGAAGTGTTTTCCACTCTTGTGGTGAGTGGCATGGCAACCAGACAAATAACCACTGCTTAAAAAAAAAAAAAAAGCTGGAAAATGCCTCAGCACAGCTCTGCTAAACTGTGGAGAGATTTCCTCAATCTTCCTCCCTCACATTAGCTAGATGTTTTTGTAGAACTACGGATGAGTTAAATTCTTAATAAAAATAAGCAAAAAAAAAAGTGACATTCAGAATAATCCATACAGAAAATGGTTACCGGTTTCAGGACTATTTATATAGAAAATAACTGGGTTTTTCTGGAATTCAATTAAGAGGGGACATTTTAAAAGGCTAAATAAATTTTCTGTTTGTGATCAAATGAAACTTATTTGATAAGAAACTGAAAACTTAGAAAACAGTAATATTAACCATAACATTTCAAATCTAATCAAGTCACTTATACAGAGTAGAAACTGTCTACCAACCTGTGTGTATAAAATAAATGATATACATGATATAACTGTAAGGTCCTACCTGCAGCCGTCCATCCAGTGTCCTCTGGATGGTCACACACTTGCTGGGATGGGCCCCATTGGTGGTGATGGCTGTGATCAGGGAGTCAAGCTCATCTTTCTTCTCCTTCAGCTTTTTCACCAAGCTCTCGATGGCCCGCTTGGCAAAGGTCTCACTCTCACCACCCTGTCTGTGACACATGAGGCTGTGCACAATGCTCAGACAGGCATCGTTGCTGGTAGGTGTGTTGGTGATGGACATCTTGACTTCTGTCTCTGACTGAACTTTCTGAGAATATGTACTGTTCAGGCAGTTTCACATAATCAGGAAGCTGGGGTACAGAATATCTTCACAGGGCGATGGGGTGACGAGTTCTGAAAAGAGAGGATAACATGACCTTTGAATTAATGTTAAAGAGAGAGCAGGTTTATTCAACACAGCAACGATTGCTGTGGATGATGCATGCTGCTGTTATAATGCTGACCCTGTTGTGAAGGTTGGATCAGACGGCTGCTCGCTTACAAAACAGCGACAGAAACGTCTCCTCCTTACTTTAACTCTCTCATCCAGGTCTACACTCCCTCCCACCCGCTACGCTCTGCCAATGAAAGACGTCTGATCCAACCTTCACAACAGGGTCCTCAGTCTCTGACTAGACTTTTCTCCTCTGTCGCCCCCCGGTGGTGGAACAAACTTCCAAACGCCATTGGATCTGCAGAGTCCCCTGCACCTTTAAGAAAAAGCTAAAGACCCAGCTCATGAATACCTGCTAACTTAATGATGATGGTCTCCATATTATTGATGATGATGATGATGGTGGTTGTTGTGACGATGGTTTTTGTTTGATAACGATGACTTATAAGATGATTTCTATACTGATTAGAGCTCTCAAGAACGGCCCTCAATGTTGTGCTTTGCCTCTGGTCACTTCCTGTCAGCACCTGTGTGTCCAATCAGACTCACAGCTGATCGTTTGCTCTTACTGACATTGTTCCCTTTTTTTCTAGATCCTTGCTTGTGTTGTTCGTCGCTTTGGATAAAAGTTTGCTGAGTGAATTGTAGAAAAACATAATTGAAATGACTTTAATGGTTAAAGTATTTAATGCAGTGTGTTTTTTTTTATAAATTAAAGTTAATATAACACTGAAGCTGAGTGTACAAAAAACAATACTTACAATACATACTACTCTTATTTTATACTTATTTGAGTACATTGTGTCAGTAACACCGACACAGTTAGATAATCAATGTTGTTGTTTTGTATCTGATTGTTTATTGATTTAGTTATCGATTAAAAACAAATAACGCCTCACCAATCTACATACGGCACAAAGAATCCTCTTTTTCATCTTAGTTTATGTAACCATAAGGTGTATAAGTTGCGTCAGATGAAGTTTAAACACAGTAGTTGTTGTTGTTGTTGTTGTCGTCGCTCGCTAGCGGCGCCGCTCCGGCTGCTGCTTTAAGCTACAAACACAGACGAAACTAACCAGCTGGACAAACTTCGTGTCTACAGGTGAAGTTTTGACTTCTCGCAGCAGAGCTATCACGTTACCTGATGTTGTCCTCTTGACGGATAAACTCGTTTATTTTGATTTTTCTGGCTCTCTGCTGAAATAACGCAGCTAGCATGGACGAGAGGAAAAAGCTAATGTAGCATGTTCACTGTCGTCAGTCCTGCAGAACAATAAATAACTGCTTTGGTTGATAGTCGGCGACAAAATAATCCGACAGAACCGTGAACACATCGGTTGTGAAGTGATTTATATGCAGTTTAATATTAAAAAGTACGTGGAGCTTTATAAAAAATAAAAAAAGATAGCGACATGCTACATTGTGTTAGCTTGCAGCTAGCAGCTCCTCTTCCTTGTTACCTTGCCGACGGGGCCCCTGGTTCCGGGCTCTGCAGCTCCACTGTGACTCCCCGATTATCCTCTTAAAATGTCTTCGGCCGCCTACAAAAACACCGTCGATGAAGAAGTTGTTCTCGTAAACAGAAGCCTTACATGCTCAAAACTAGAGCGCGGCTAAAGTCGGAGTCAAATCTCAGATTTCGTGTCAAAGCCCAACAAGCCCCGTCCCACTTTACACACGCGATTTCCTCCAGCGGCTCATTGCGCATGCGTGAAATAAATCTGCTTCATTATGCAGTTCATTGATGCTACAGTACTGCAGTGTCAGATAAAGATAAAGATAAACTTTATTGATCATTTTTGTTACAGCAGCTCAAGAAAACAGGGGACGGGAATATAATTATTAGAAATAAAAATAGAAGTTAAAAATCAAACATATTTACATCAGTTAAATAAAAAAATACAATAATGGAAAATGACACAGTAACTACACTGGAAAGAGTTATTGTTATTAAAAAAAACACACAGTGTGTAGCATGAGGTGGTGATGCTGTTAAATAGTCTGATTAAACAGACAGAATAAATTACCTTAAAGACATATATTATATATTTCCCTTCTGCTTATTCTATTCCCTTAAAACGCAATCTCAGTCATCACACATTTTACCTGTAGGCTCTTCTAAAGCCCACATCAGAATCAGAAATATCACGGACCCGTGTGTATATGTGTTTTGGTTTTATTTTTTTATTTATTTTTAATTGTTGTTGTTGTTGTGTGTGAATGTTTTTGTTTATTTTTATTTTTATTTTTTATTCTATTTTTTTTCTTTCTTTCATCATTTGCTCAGTATTTTTTATTTTTTATTATTATTACTATTATTATTATTCTTGTCTCTACATGAATTTGATGACAACTAGATGTTGCTTTGCACTGGGCTTGGGACGGGGTGGGGGGGATGTGAACGTCAGTACGGTGCTGTTGTATAACAGGTTAAAGCTATATGTTACTGCTGCTGGTGCTGTCTTGTCTGCATGGTGTCTATTGTTTGGGGAAAAATGAATTAAATAAAATAATTGAAAAATAAATATCACGGACCCGCTGGGAATAATACATATCCTGTAGAAAATAGCAATAAATATAGAAATTAAATAAGGAAATTAAATACAACACAAAGCACAGTAAAGATAATGCACTGATTATTTCTGTTGAAATTAAAGTATTGATAATGAATGAGTTTCTTTACTGGTCTATCTTGCCTGATGAAATTGTTTTTATTCCATCGGTAGCTGCACAATTGTCTGTGCACCCTTATTTAGCCAGTTGAATTGGTAATCTCATATCTTCAGCAAGAAAAAAGGTACATTCAGACAATACTGTGACTGTATGTAGCATGACAGTCTGGGCCAGATGCTTTTTAGCTTACATGTAAACAAAAATGTAATTACACCCCCACCCTTCCAACTTGAGTTAATTTCTCTGTTATTCTGCTCTGGCTGGCTTGTTTGTTATTCTGATTCTCAATAAACAAAATGAAACTTGTATTGACATTAAGGTTTTTATTTCATAGGAATTGATAATAATCCACTAAACCCTTAATTTGTCCTCAGCAAGAGGTCGACCCACTAGATTATGGACTAATGTAGATAGATTCAGAGACAGATTACACAACTGTTTTACAGAACGGTTGCATACAATTTAAATAAAAAGCAGAGCAGCTGTATCTGGTTTTCTCATTGGGTTCTGCTGCCAAAAACTGTCTTCTGTATATGAATCAACAAGCACACTAAATTCAGCCTCTATGAGAAGATTAAATTACAAATATCATGCAGCTACAAATGAAAGGTTCCCTGATCCAATTGCTCTAGAATTAAAAGAGCACAAAAGAACCAGACCTTTTCATTTCTGCTGCTTCGCACACAGCTATTGATTTCACCGATTATTTTCTCTTTGGTAGTTAACGAAGTGCTAATTAGTCAAGCGAAATCAACTGCTGTGACATTAAAGACACTGTTAGTTCTTGATTTTTCTCTTTCATTTTACCCTTCGACACTCCACAGTAATGAAAATATCAACACACGTGCTCTCAATTCAATTCACTTCGAAAGAGCTTTGATGGCATGAGAAACATCTGTTTACTTTGCTAAAGCCAAAATGAAAATAAAACACAATTTAAGTACAATTAAAGACTAAGAAAATGTAAATTTAAAGTAACAGAGCAGTGCAGGGTTCCATTATTAACGAGTGTTTAAACATAAAACCTGTTTGACTTAAAAATACAAACTCTGACACTCTTAACATATAGACAGATGAAAAAAGATGATGTTCAAAAAGATCTCTCTCTCACACACACACACACATGCAGACATGCACACACACACACACACACACACACACACTGCAAGCGCTGAAGTTTAAACACCCCACTGGTAGCCAATTTGTCCCAATTACAGATGTGAATATTTCCCGCTGACAGGCTGCACAGTGATGATTAATTATCAGCTTTGGTAGCTAATGTTCTTGGCTTGCTCCCATAATTTGACTTTAATAGTCTGTCATCTCTGCTTCTCTTTGTGTCCTGTTGCATCTCCCCCTTTTTCTTCCCCCTTTCTTTTATTCTTTCTTTCAACACAACAAATAAACAACCTTTACTGATTAATCTGAGGAGACAGTAACTATTTCTTTTCAGCCTTCTTGTATTTCACTTCCCTTTTGTTTCTTCTGTATTTTTCTTAGACAGAGAAAACAGTTCCCAGAATTAAAATCCTGACAAATCACATGGGAGAGGAGAGTTTGAATGAGAGGAATGACAACCTGACAACTAATGTTATACACAGCTTGTAAAAAGATTTAGAAAAATGAGACGAGGGAGATTAACCCTCAAACACAAAAATACTAGTTCTCAGTTCAGTTCAATTCAAAGGAGCTTGACTGGCACGAGAAACATTCATGTTTAAATTGTCAAAACAAGAGTGAAATAAAAAAAAAACACAAAACTGAGTTCAACAAAAGAATGAAAAAGAATCAAAGCTGTGCAACACTGCAACATTTGAATCACTAAAACCACTCAAATATGTCATGTTTACTTAAAGTACCATTTTAAAGTGGCAAACTTGCACCTAAGACATAGATCAGTAAAAATAACAAGATAACAGGAAAATAAAAACAGAAAATGTTTAAAAAATGTATAAAAAAATGTCTGTCTGTAAAAGTGTATTTACAAATCTATGGTCCTTCTGTATCTCCAGTGTACCTTTATATTCCAGAGATTAGCAGTCGGTCAGTGTGGGAGCAGAGATGGATATTTAGTTGACCAGCAGAGGGCAGTAAACACCAGCCTATAGATGCTACACTGTGCAATACAGTGCCGTATCATAGAGGGCACTGGGTGATCCAAACTCAGCCTGCAGATACAAAATCAGAACATTTAAAGATGCTGAGTGATTTATGCTAAATGATGATTGATGATGAAATGAAATATTAGGAACATTGTTCTGTCTTTATTCATTTGTGCTGTGACAGCCGTACTGTGGTGGTCGGCCTCTTGGTTCATCTGATCAGCAGCTTCGTTCAGTCCCCCTCTCCTAATGTAAAACCAGAAGTGAGCGTACTTTTACAGTAAGAGTTTCCAAACTGTGGAGCATCCTCCTTCCCTTCTCCATCAGACCGGCTCAATCTGTGGTTTGTTTTAAAACTGCTATTAAAAACTCACTTTTACAGGCGAGCCTTTTTATAACTCTGTTGTTATTTGATGTAGTGCTCAATTTGTGTCTGATATGTCGCTTCCCACATGTGTATGGATGATTGTGTAGATGTTTGTATATCTGCATGTCACTGTTTTCCCTTTGGCTGTAAAGCACTTTGTAATGTTGTGCTTTATTAGTACATTCTATCACTATTATTATTTCATTATTATTAGTATAAAATCAACGCTGACTGACATTTGAATGGCTAACATTTTCCAACACGGATTAATAATCACAAAAAGTCATTGAGTATTGGATTTATTATTATTATGAATTCTCTTTATAGAGTCTATGGATTAGGAGGCTTAGAGAAGAGAGATGATCACACCAGAGCCTCGGCACAGAAAAAAAAAGTTGGTTCGCATGCTGTTACATTTTTCCGAGATGGCTTGGGGATGAGGAGGGGTAGCAATAAAATAAAACTCAGGGAAAAGAAGGAGGACGTAAGTATATGCAAAGTTTCAAAGTATTTATTAACAAACTAAAGAAAAATGTCCAACACATAACAAACTTCTTCCCCAAAAACAAAAGAGATGCAAATCTAATATTTAATTAAAGTCAGAAGCTAACGAGCAAAATATAAAGAGAACAGGAAGGCCTCCGAGGGCATTCACTGAAGTCTGCTCGACGTCTAGACAACACAGCCCAATGACACACTGGCGACTGGCCGACTCCTCTCCTGCTCTTTATAGCTTAGCCCCTGATTGGTCAATTGCCACAGGTGTGGCAGGGCACTCTGAGGACGCAACACCTGGGGAGCACACAGGCGAGAGAGAGAGAGAGAGAGAGAGAGAGAGAGAGAGAGAGAGAAAACACAAACATACATACAGTACACAACACTAAGGCACATAACACATGCAGAGATTCTTAAGACACAATAAATCATTATTTATACATTAACGCAGACCAATGGGGCTCAATGTTTTGAATATTAATGAAGTGATTTTTGTGATTCACACGAGGACGTCTGAGGAGAAAACAGGCTCATTGGTCAAATTTGTAAAGAAGTTAGGAAGATTATCCAAAACTTCAAGGTCGCAAATTCCCAGAATCACAATAGCCCAACTGTCTGTAGCGACTGATATGGAGTGTAAATATGAATAACACTTTTATATTTGATTTCCCAGCTTATGAAGAAGTTGTCTGTTATCTGCAGTCTTCCTCCCGTATAAAAGCCATTTGTTTCACTTCCTTATGACATCCATTAAAAGTTTGAACCTTGAGGTGATTCTTAATCTGTGTCAAACTGGAATGAATGGCTTCACTTTCTTACAACAGCCTCGCTGTTTTAATAATCTCCCTGAAGATCGAGAGTCACAGGAGCAACCAAAGACAAAAATCTAAACATCAACGGGGCAGCAAAATGTAGCGCCGTCTAAACATCACTGGAATAACGAGAATGACTCATTTCTCACTCGACTGACGTTAAGATGTAAATATCATCTGCGAGCTGCTGATACTGACACTTTCAGAGCGCTTTAATGTGTGTGTGGATGATGGC